CCCTCCCCTCCCCCCAACAGGCAAACCTCCCCCGTTCCCACCCCTCCTGCACCCCTTCCATCCTCCCCCCTGCCCCGGGCTGGCCCGGTGAGCTCTGAAGTCATGGGCCATGCCCAGCTGGCCCCCCAGGCCGGCCCAGCCCCACCCCAGGTGCAGCAGACGCAAGGAGAGAGAAGCAGACGCCCAGGCCCAACACCCACGCTAAGCACGGCAATATTTAATTAAATTAACCCATCAACTAGTCCTAGTAACAATAATTAACAGCAGCCTGGTGCCCTGTGCCTGCCCCTCTGGCAGGACGAAACCAGCCCTTCTGTGGGGCAGCCCCTGTGTGGTGTGTGGGGTGACCCGCCTGTCACGGGCTGTGGGGCAGCGTCCGGCCCCCTGTGCGGCGTGTGGGGTCACCCGCCTGTCACGGGCTGTGGGGCAGCACCCAGCCCCCTGTGCGGCGTGTGGGGTGACCCGCCTGTCATGGGCTGTGGGGCAGCACCCGGCCCCCTGTGCAGCATGTGGGGTCACCCGCCTGTCACGGGCTGTGGGGCAGCGTCCGGCCCCCTGTGCAGCATGTGGGGTCACCCGCCTGTCACGGGCTGTGGGGCAGCACCCGGCCCCCTGTGCGGCGTGTGGGGTGACCCACCTGTCACGGGCTGTGGGGCAGCAGCGCCCAGCCCAGCCCAGGCCCTGCGATGTGGGACCACAACCTTTCCTTTGCCCGTGTCCAGCCCATGGGACCAACATCCCAGCATGCACTGCTGCAAGCCAGCTGGCATGTGGGGCAGAACCTGTGTCCCGCCCCCATGGCTGGTAGCCCACCCCTCCTTGGCGTGGCCGGAGCAGCAGAACTGCATGCTGGGAGTTCTGCCCCCGCGGGTCTGAAGCCAGCCTGGCGGGGGGAGCGTTGCATGCTGGGAGCCCATCTCCTCGCCGTGCTGAGCTGGGCATGGCCTGGGGGCACCAGGTGGGCACGGGCTCCTGGCTCTAGGGCCCCAGGGCCCGCTTAGTCCGCGGGGTGAGGGCGGTGAAGCGGAATGGGCTCTGCCCCTCACCCCCTGTGCCCTTGGGGGGCCTCTTCATGAAGTGCCCTTCGCGCTGGGTCCGGTGGGTGCGCGGCCCCCTCTGTGCCCGCCCCTTGCGGGTGAAGCCCAGGAACCAGCCCCGGTGCCCGGCCGACATGAAGGCCGTGAAGTTGTTCTCCAGGACTTCTTCCACGAAGACACAGCCCCGGCTCCGCCCGTCCAGCTGGGGGAAAGAGAGAGACTGAGACAGGCGGGTGGGGGGCATTGGCAGGCGTGGGGGGCCATGAGGATGCAGAAGGGCAGGGGTGTGAGATGCAGGTGGGATGGGGGGATGCGGGATATGGGGAGGGGGCAGGGAGCGCAGGCGGGGGTGCTGTGGGCGAGGGGGGAGGCGATGGGGGATGCAGGCAGGTGGGGGACGCAGGCAGGCAGGTGGGGGTGCTGGGGGTGAGTGGGGAGGCTGGGGGGGCACAGGCGGGGGGACGCCAGCAGATGTCACTGTCAGGCCGCATGAAGCCCCGGCCACAGCGCAGGGCCCGGCCTAGGCCTGGGGGGCGGCTTGGTCATTGTGACCCCCCCGGGGAGGCTGCCAGGCCAGGTCCAGCCCCCCAGTGAGCCTGGGTGCCCCTTGGCCCTGGCCCAGCCACCCTGCTGGCTCTGGGGAGGGGCCGGGGCACTCGCTGGCTGCCCCCTCACCTGGGCAGGGGCTGGGGGTGTCCCCAGGTGGCTCAGGGTGCAGGCCTGGCCCCCACTGCTGGGCTGTCTGGGAGGAGCAGGAAGGGACCGGGGCAGCCTGGGGGTGCTGGGGAGCCCTGGAGGAACAGGGGCATTGTGCCCCCCGGAGCTGGCACGCCTTGCCCAGGGCAGCCCCATACCTTGCCCAGCACCTTCCCTCTCCTGTCCATGCAGACGTAGTAGCCCGTCTCCTTGCCCTTGATGCGAACGTGGCTCCCAAAGGTGTCGCTCTCCACGGCCAGCAGCGCTGCAAGGAGCCAGACGCAGGAGTTAGGAGCGGCTGTGACAGGGAGGGGACATGGCGGGAGGGGGGGAGCAGAGATGAATGAGCCTGGAGCATCCTAGCCTGGCACAAATCCAGGCAAAACTGGGGCTAGGATTGTGGAAGGGCTGCGGGTCGGGAGTGAGGGGCACCGGCAGAGCTGGGGGGGG